GTGGTATGGTGTACATCACTAGGCAACCAGTTTAGATGTCAAAATTGAAATTAATAATTTCATAAAAATGTGCATGTGTCTGATGTAGTTTACTAGCTTTGCACTTCCTTTATGACTTTATGAGCGTCTTGCTATAGGAAACAACAGCACAAATTGTACGTTTAATGTACCTAACAATAATTAAAGATTAAACGTAATGTAAGACTGTTGATTTTTAAAAAGCGTCGGTAAGTATTTTTGCTGTTCTGTTTTTAGATCGGTAAGTAATTTTGGCGTCGTCGTAATCATAGCAACTGGTAAATTCTACGTACCGTCATGGAAATACCCATGGTAAATAGTCAGAAATGACCGATCGCGCAAAAATGAAGGTTTCAGGACGATTTTGGGTAAACCAAATTTCTGACACAACGGATGCTCAAAACCACATTTTGAAATCGTTATTAGTTTTACTTTTTTCCGAAGAAATTTAAATTTAATTTAAATAACATTTTTCTACAATCGATATCCAAAGTAGGCATTTGCGCTCGTATTTGACAACGCAAACGTCATCTTTTTCGAGGAATGTCACTTTGTCGCTTATAAGCAACAAAATAGAAAAAAACGCTTGCTCTCCCAATTATTAACTATAAATCAAATATGCATTGCTCAGAGTATCCAATGACAACGAGTAAATGACATCTTTCATTTAGGCATAAGATTAAAATGATTTGTGTGAAAAATTTTAATTTCTGGAAATATGTGAACTGCTCGATTGTAGAAAAAATCTTTTGTGTAATTCGAGCGCAAATTGATTGTCGATTTCAAGAGATTGCCGCGCTCCTTCGTCGCGCGTCAACTTTCTCTTTCAATCGACAATATATCATTTTGCGCTCTTAATACACAAATAGCTATTTCGATTGCAAAAATATAGTTTTTGAGAAAAATACCTATGGCGCGTTATTTAAACGATCGTGTTAGAAATATTGATACGCACGGGATCCTTGCACCAAGCCCTTTCAGTTCAAATGAGCCCCGTATCGCCCAAATGGGTTCAGTCGTGTAGAAGTAGTACGTGTGGTGTGATGGACGGACGGACGACAAAGTGCAGCCAATGGCGTTTTTTGACTTTGAGAAAAATACGCTAAACATGTACTGGATAACAGGTGCCATTTGCATTTTAAAATTTAGGGTAAACTCTATTATTCAATTAATTTTACTCATAATATCAACTACCTACCTACCAAAATGTTACATGCATTCATATCACCAATCCTGCCAAAACCGTAGCCGAAAGAGAACATCCCAAGTACAGTTGATAACCGAGTGTGTTTGATTCAAAGATGATAAATTCTTTTTCTGAGGTCACGTGTAGGAGTAGGTAGGTATGATCAAAAATATGCCAAAATCGATATTCTTGCATCGAGATCCCATTATTTGGATGCCCAAGATAATTTTGATTGATTCAATGTCTACCCTTCTCCTCGATACGCCACTGCAACGCGCCTTAAAATTAATTGCAAATTTTCTATATGGATCTAAGTTGCAAGCGAAGTTGCAAGGTTAAAATAAATGGTCGTTAAAATAGAGGATCGTTGTATCGGTTTATTACGTTAAAGACTAAAGTTATTGACGTGCGACAGCCCAGCCTATCGAGATAGATGCTCTCTTGTGTCTGTTGGTGGAGATGCTCTAATATTTTTTTATCTAACTTGAGAGAATACCTTTGTTGCAGCATTGCAATAAATAAATAAATAGGTAAATGTCAACCGTAAATATAAAAAAATGTCCCGATGCGAGCCGATTGATACAAGAAAAGTTAACCGCTACAACTTCAATGGTCATCAGTAGAGGAGAAATGAGCAATTATGCAGGCGCGCAAAGTTTCGGTGCTAGTGAGAATGTGTCCTAGATCATTTCTCATTGTTTGAAAAACAAAATAAACAATAGCTTGTTTATCACATCAAAAAAACTATGTTTGTTATGTGAAGCTACATGCTATACAAGATGATATCTCCGTTTACAGATTTGATTACAAAATTAAAATACATAAATAAATTTAAGAAATATACCAAACGAGCTCCTGGGTATGGCTTGGCTTGGCATATTATTTGGCCTACATTGACAATTCATGAACTCCGATCAATTTGATAAAGAATCGTACTATACCTATTAGGTATATACAGAGGGAAAATTTTCCCTGGAACACTGAATATGCCTTCAAAATAACATTTTTTTTAAAGAAGTTTTTTATGGCCTCTAAAATCATAAAAAGTTTGCTACCAATCTACAAACTTGAAATTTTTAGTCAAGGGAGCTTATTGTTTTTAAGGGCAACACTAATTTTCATTATATACTTATTCTTAAAGAATCCACTATAGCAGCATAAAAAACTTATTAGGTAAGTACACCACAATCAAATTTAAGAGAAAAACTCAAATTTAAGGGAAACAGGTGTGTTAATTAAATTAGTGATTCCATTAGTTTGCGTTCAAAAAAAATTCTCTTGTTAGTTAGGTGAAAGCAATTTATTGTATCATATAGATTATAGGTATTTTAAACGTTTCAATAAATCTAGATGCTTAAAAATTATTTATGATGACGGGCGTCCGCCGAGACGTCTTCAGGACTAAGAGGGGTCACTTTTTTTAATGGAAAGCTATTTTTCGTGAGGCATTATTAAAATTTTTTTTTTTAAATATGACAACATAAAAACATGATGAAACTAGTAAAATTATGAAATTAATTAACAAATTATTTCCCTTAATTTGAGGTTTTCTCTTAAATTTGATTATGTAAAGCTGCTATACCTATCCAAAAAAAGTGCACCCTTTAATTAAGAATATGTAACGAGTAATAATAATAATAACAATAATAATACTATTTAAAAATATGCTCCCTTTGACCATGCAGAAACACGCCACTGACCACAAATTTCAAGTACCTATAGGTAGGTACGTAAATTGGTAGCAAACTTAATGTTGGATATAGATAGGTACCATAAAAAGCTTCTTTAAAAAAAAATGTTGTTTTAAAGATTCAGTATATTCCACCTGTCTACCCTGTGTAGGTAGATATAACAATATCGCCTATAAGTAATGTTTATATCTTGCTTGTGTCAAAAAATGGACAAAATTAAAATTACCTAAATGTAGGTACCTATACCTAAATGCAGGTAGATATGTACTACTTTGTACCTAAACCTTATTAAAGTTTGTAACGCATATCAGTAACAAACAATTAAAAAATGAGGATGTACCTATACTTATACCTATACTACTATATAATACCTATAAGTATATCTAGGTGCTATTCAAACTAGCGTATCGTCTGCATGCACTTAAAAAACAAAATTAGCATCTTTTTGCTAACAAGATATTTCTGACATTGAAATTCCAAAAAAACTGTCATTCATTTTAGTTTTTACCTAAGTAGGTATACGACATTTTATTTCAGTTTGCCTAAAAATGGACGATATGCACTTTTTTTAACCAAAAGCATGGATATGTAGAAGTAAAGATACCTACCTATAGATATACCAGCGAGAATATAGGTATATAAGTACATAGGTACCTACTTATACCTATAAAATTATAAAATACATCTATTTACCCGCCTAAGGGAAAAAGTTGATAAGTAGGTACCTATAGGTAGGTATATAGGTATTTGTCTTTTACAACTTTTCGTGTTATTTACAGTAGGTAGGTAAGTAAGTACACCTATCGTTTTTGGAGCTTAAAATCGAACATTAATTACAACCATATACATTATCATTTTTATGAATTAAAAGAAACTGTATATACTTACATAGGTATAAGCATAAGCAAATAGAGACGCGCAACTCGCAAGGAATGATTTCTATACTGAGGTAGGTACCTATAGTTGCACAAGACGGGAAAATATTTTAGAATTGATCTGCACAAAGCGATTTCAACGAAGAGCTACTCAAGTATAGATACTTAGGTATTTCTATTAAAGCAAATCGGTTAAAATCGCCAATGAAACTATTTAGTACCATAACTAAATATGCTTTGTACGTGAAAATTGATTTAAGGTATATACAAAATTAAAAGTCAAAGATTCTTCTTTATTTAGGTATACCTATCTAAACTAACATTAGATTACATACCTATAGGTAGTAATGCTAGGTGTTTCAGTAGAAAATCACTTTTAATGACATGAAAAGACTGAAAAGTATCTATTATACTTATCTATTGTCTAGAATCGCGAAATCACATTTGATCACCTTTTTTTTGTAACCCACATTAAGCGGGTGCAGGTAGGAGGTACCTACCTATGTTGACAATTTCAAATGAATTTTAATGATAAATTTATTTACCTATTAATAATATATAATTAAAAATGTGAAGAATTTAAGTAGTCAAGTAGGTACCTATAGGTATAATAACCGTCATTGAATACCATCAGTTCTTGCAAATTCTTCGGTACTCGGCAAGCAAAAAATCATGCAAATAAGTTTAACGGATTCGTGTAATTAGGTTTTACGGTTTTCTAAAGTGAGAAAACCTATAGAAATGTAGATGAATAAGATCGTTTGTATGTATATGTTTTTGAAAAGGAATCAAAACAAGCAAGTTGAAACCCACAAACACTTCACCGTCGCCACACTGTCAATCGAAGGATGAGACCGCAATAAGTTATCCGCTTAAAGCTGTTGTCATACATAAGGCCTTAAGTATCACCAATTTATAATCTTTTATTTGTAAATGGCCCGCAATTTGTATCTTTACTACCATCCGTAACAACACGGGCCGTTTACAACACATCTTTAGTGCCTTCCTTTGTTATAAGGGTTTTTAGTACCTTTTAGTGTGTATTAAAATGCTTCACGTTAAACTTGAGAATAACTGGGGTTGCGCTGCTTTCAAGATAAATGAGATGCAATTTATCTTTACAGAGTAGGTCGCAAGACTTTGGTTTATAAAGTACCTCTTAAACAGTTTATAACTGCAAGGCAATTTGTTTGGTGTAAAGTAGGATTTGTGATAAAAGCATATACTCACCGACTCCGGCAACGTGTATTTTTTTCATCCACGGGTAAATAACCCTATCACCCGATTCGTTAGCTTCGTCATCGTCGTCATCCGGCACAGGTGACCCGTCAGGGTCATCGTCGACGTCTTCCTGCTCGTCCGAGCCGTTGTCTTCCAGGCGCAGCCCTAATTCCTGTAAGGAATGGGGTCCTGCAGGTGATCCGCCAGAGTCCTGACCGTGCCCCGTTGACGCGGGGCTACACACACCGGAATTCACATCACTAGCTTGCGTTACACTTGGTGCAACGTCGGCAATATTTTGTAATAACGTACTTGAACTTGTGGAGGGTGTATGAGGCGGTTGATGTGTTTGAAGCCCGCATTGCATGTGAGACGACGGTTGCGTATCCGGGTGCATCGGTATTGCGGGGCGCAATTGATGTGGGTGTAATGAAGCGGTGTGATGCGAATGTAATTGAGGGTGATAATAGTTACTGTAACCTGCATACCCGCCACTGTTCGACGGACCGTATGGAGTGGTTGTAGCTTGATGGTGATTGTGATATCCATATTGTATGTGATGCTGCGGCTGATGATGACCACCGAAAAAATCGCCGCCGGACGATATATAATTACTTTGACTATATTCCTCACTAGGTGGAAATTTAGGATCTACAACTACACCCGCTGCGAGATGCTGTGGCTGTTGGTAACTTGACGATATAGCGGCTCCAGAAACCGGGTTCATCAAAAACGAGCTCATGATCATTAATTTTACTGGAACTTCAGCGGTAGTTCTCTTAGCGTGTAGACGGTTATTCGGTGGGGGGTTTGCGGCGCACTAGGCTATTACATAGAGGTTCTTTTTTCTGTTCCCCTACTACATACGGGATTTCCTTAAAGCTCTACGATGTACCGCCTACAAAACAAATTAATAAACCACGTGACTAAAATAGAACCAATGGCGAGGTCGAACGTCTTGGACCATGATGGATGACGCAATTGTAGCGCCAACTGGCGGTGGCTGGTCACACAGGCGCCTGATGTGCACGCGGAATTTGAAGGAAATGTGATTGCCAGATTATAAGTTTACATTGATAGTAGTTAAAATATATTATTTGCATATGTGCACTTAGTAAATTAAAATACATTTTTACTCTAAACTTGCCCCTTTAGTTTAGTTTACCTACTAGGTATATTGCTTTAATTAATTGTATAAAGTAAACGAAGGGAGTGCATTTTAGGCTTGTCAACACCACACGACACGTGATTCATAAACTGGCCGTAATTCTCTCGAATTAAGTATCGTTTTATAATTAAAGAGCGTCAATATTTACGACATCGTCACGAGAACGTCGTCACGATAGCACTAAAACCCTGTGAAAGCAGCTTCGTCTAAGTGTTTACTTCTCCCACTAGTGTTCGCCACTTCTACACGTCAAAGCCAGTCAAAGCGGGAACCATTTCTCCTCCTGCTTCGAATGTTAGTCTCGTGGGATGGAGGAAGAGCGAGAAATGCTATTCAACACCGTCATCAAACACCCCTTGCACAATTCGAATGGGAGAATTGCAAATACGATCAGAAAGTGGTAGGTGGAAATTGTATTCTTTATTTTATCGTAGTTACTATAATATTTCAATGCATTTTACTTCAGTAAATACTTATTATAGGTACTTATTTCCCGTAAATAGGTATATATATATATAAAACTTATATGCCTTTTACCGATACTTACAGGGAGGTAGGTAGGCAAATAAATAACACTATTATACCTACTTGGGGTACCTATACGAAAAAAGTTATAGACATCGACCTATAACTACCATTTATCGCTCTCCTTCACTCTCTTTATTGTGTGCTTATTAAGGAAACCCTTATGATGTTTTCATTAATATGATGTCATTTAGGTATAGGTACCTACCTAAATAGGTACCTACCTACGTAAGTAATTTTACAACATGTACGTACGTACGTACGTAAGTTCATTAGCTTCTCTAAATATATACCTACCTATACAATAAAAATTGCAAGTAGGTATTTCTAATCCTTATGATGCACATAATCTAGCACAAAATGTTAAATTATTATCTATAGCCGCGCACCATTTGCGATTTTACTGGACATCCCGTATACCCACTTATTCAATATTATAGGTATAATAATAGTATTGTACCTACCTAAGATACCTACCTACCTATATCCAACTTTAGAAATTATCCAAAAATCTTGCCAATTTATGTAGGTACCAATCTAAAAACCGATTGATTATTGCTACTACCGTATAGGTAAATAGGTACCTATATTATGTGAAGATAAGGTCTATATTTATACTTAGCTAGGTACGTGTTCGACCGCTAATTTACGATGCGTTTCTTAGTTATGGTAGGTACCTATAGGTAGGTAACTATAACCTCCTAACTATACAATAGTAAAAAATAACACCTTATATACCTACCTATCATACTGGGGCCGGCACACTTCGCCGAATGCCCACAATGCCGGCACGATTTTTGGATGGTCCATATCGCCGACTAGGAACACTACGCCAACCGTGCCCACTTCGCCGACAAGTGTGCAAGGGACACTAAGCCGAACGTGACCACAACGTTAACTCATACAGTACGGAGTGCAACACCAAGCAGCTTTGGATAGTAGGAGGTATAGGGCATTTTTTTAAGCTTTTTTAAAAACGCAAACAACAAGTATAAATTGTGCACAACTCTTGTGCAGATAAAGCGCATTTTTAAACCGAAATAGCTTTTGTTTTGACATCACTAATTCATATATTCCACCAATTCATATATTCCTTGTAGATGTCTCAATCGCCCTTTGTGAGTACCCTCTTCCGACAATCCGTTCTTGAGGTATAAGGTAATATACCCGATCACGATAAGAGGTCTATGGTTGGTAGAAATTAATTCCTTTGGTTGAAACCTTTCATTGGAGTACCATGAAAGATAAAACTAGTTCCACTCCCACCCCCATCCCCTCCCACTCCACCCCGTAATTTTATAAGAGGACAGAAAGAAGAGCAGTAGTTGGTACAAAACGGTTCCTTTCTTTTAGACCTTTCAGTAGAATACCATGAAGGGTAGAACATGTATTTACCCCCCTCCCACCAATTTTCTAAAGTTTAACTTGGCACCACTAAAGGCATGCGTACCTATGCAAAATCTGAGACCAACAGAGAATATGCATGTGGTTTAAATTTACCTACTTGATTCTTTCTCCCGCGAATATTTATTGTCCTGACCAGGTATATACCATTAGTTTCTTATTTAGTTTGTTTTTAATTGCTAAAAATGTTAATTGAAAAGTGGAAAATAAGCGAACGAAATTCAAATTTTCGAAACGCTTCACTATTGGACGAATGAAAGTGACGTTAAATGCCACGCGATCGCATTTATTATGTCAATATTCATAAACCTCTCGCCAGGAAAGATTGCCGGTCACAGAAGACCTGATCCCGGTCTACAACCTGTGTTTTTCTAAAGATGTGAGCGACTTCCGAGATAGGATCGTGCCAATGTTGAACGAAAAGTCTTTTCGTTCAATATTGGCACGATCCTATTCCGGAAGTCGCTCGCATCTTAAAAAAACACAGATTGTAAATTGACACAAGGTGTGCTGTGACCGGCAATCTTTCTTGGCGAGAGTTATAAGTATACTTACTAGTCCAGTCAAATTACGGTTTGGGCAGATTGGGATGGGTGTTGTCATTTCACTCAACGAAATCAAGTGTATTCTATGTAAAAAGATCCGCTGAATCCGAAAATCATAGTTCTCCTAGCCGAGAACTCCCGGAATATACTTATTGTTAATAATAAACAAAAAATGAAGAAAAAATGGCAGTGTCGTTTCCTTCCTTTCTCCTTCGTTTCTCGTTAACTATTGCTCTAAGGGAAAAAATGAAGAGAAATGAATTGGTTTAGAATTGAATTTTCTATATAGGTAAGATACAGTTGATGGTATGAAACGTTCATTTTCATATGTTATTGTTTTTTATGGAAAAATTTAAAAAAAGCAATCCCGAAGATTATCAATTGGTTATTACTAAGTAAAACTCATCCGATCTTTTTGAAAATCCGTATTTGGCCACTTCTTTTGACAACAAAACAATATGACAAACCCGATCACCGTAGATTTTATAGCTATTGCAAAATTAAATAAACAGATTTACAAAACGATACTTGGTCTTTTTAAACTGGGTGACTACCACAGCGTTCTAAATTTGTTTACAGATGGTGGAATCCTAAGACAACCGTTTCCAAAAATTGTCCCGATGATTCTTGCAAATTGATGGACTGTGGAATTTGTTTAGTTAACTAACAAATGGCCCGAAATATAACAAGGAAGGTAACTCTATTATAATAGGCCCTTGGCGCTCTGATTAATAAAAATCATACCTACATTGTGGTAAAGTGGAAGCATAAAAAAGCTCTCGCTTTAAAGAATCGTTTGATGCGACCCGATTTGCAAAACCATTTTTGGTTGTGTCGAAAACAAGTCCGAAGTCAAAAGCTGATTTCTCGTGAACTCGGATTTGGACGTATTTTTTTTAATGTAGATCTTTCCGAAAGCTTTCCATTCACCTACTATAGATTTACGTTTCTTGTGGTATTTTGGAAATTATTCCATTTGTTACCTAACTAAGAAAATTTTACAGAATTTGAAAAACAAATTGCATAGTCCGTCGATTTGTAAGAATCAACGGCACAATTATTGAAAAAGATTGTTTTAGGTTGCACTAACTATGTAAAAAAATTGAGAACGCTCTGGGAGTCGTCTTCTTGGAACTGCAAAAAACACTTTATCACGAATATTTCTACCTAATAGTGTTTTTGCATTATGGTACAAGACAATACCTATAAAATGGTTTTTTAGCTTTTTCCATGGTCTGTATAGCTATTACAACTGAAAATCTGTATAAATAACTCAACACTAAAAGTAAACAAATACTGGTCGTGATTTATGACGTCATCCAAGTCCCGCTGAAAATGTGGCAGCGTTCAAACACATCGAATAAAGTCAACGTTTTAAATATTATTTTACCTGAAACCGCCAAGAAAATCTAAATTTCAGGGCTATTTTGACATAAGAAAGTTGATCTTTACCTGACTAGTACTGTTATATTTTTTGCCTGACTCCCATTACAGTCCTAGTACATGCAAAATAATCAAATCCTTCATTGAATAAGTTATTGCATCAAGGACTAGATAATTACCTATAATGCAGACTTTAGTTTTGCGCCAGTGATTAAAAGTTTTGTACGCCTTTTCGTACCTCTTTCTTGACTCTGTGGGGAGCGAATATTTCACTACGGTGACCGCAGCTTCGGCTACATTATAACAACGTCTCGCGTAGGTACTCTTCTTCACTGATACTTGCTTTTGTACCTAGTTATAAAGACTGTATAGTTGAAAAGTACAAAGCATAAACTGCAAACTGCATTAAAAATGACACTGATTGTTACTTACTGAGTGTTACTTTCAAAAACAGCATCTCAGGAAATAACTCGTGGGGGGCTCCCCTTTTAGACAGCGAAATTTGATGGCCGTCTGGCACACCTTCAATGTATAGGCTATCCACTGCAAAAAATTCCAGGACTTTAGGACCATTCCCCTAGAAGTAGTTCAAAACGACAGAAGTGGGTTCGGACGGACGGAATTTTTTGCAGTAGTAGGTAACCTATAAATTGAAGGTGTGCCAGACGGCCATCAAATTTCGCTGTCTAAAAGGGGGCCCCCCCACTAATTATTTCCCGAGATGCTGTTACTGAAAGGGGGGAGGGGAGTAAACACATGTTCTACCCTTCATGGTATTCTAATGAAAGGTCTCATCGAAATAAATTGGTTTGTACAAACTATAACTTTCCCGTGCTCACAAAGAGCGATTGAGACGTCTGCAAGAAATATATCCATTCATTGGTGATGTCAAAACAAAAGCTACTTCGGTTAAAAAATGCGCTTTATCTGCACAAGAGTTGTGCACAATTTATACTTGTTTTATTGGTGCGGTTAAAAAAGTTACCACCATGCGTACAATCTTTGAATATACATATTTTATAGGAGGTACAATATAGAAACATTTAGGTACCTAGACATAAGACAAACCTTTTATAAAGGTAATTTTATTTGAGAATGTGAATATGATCAAAGTCCAGCACTTCCGGAGGCACACTGTTTGCATATTGTGTTTGTAGTATAGCTTTGATGCTAATAAGTGATTGGGAAGCACTTTATGGTAGGTAAAAACAAGATTTTTTTAAAAGTGATGCTAAAGATTATAGCGGTCCCCTTAACAATAATCTGCATTTCAATTAATATACTAGTAGATAGCACACATATT